TCAAATTAAGACAAAAGATCGAATAATTATGTATACAAACTTTCATATATCATTGCCTTTTATTGAGTATTGATCATCACCTTATTCATAGAACCTCAGTCCTCAAGGTGGTCGATCTATGTCCTACGTATGATATTCTACAACACACATTGGGAAAATATCCGTCAGTGTCGCCGTGTTTTTTAGCAGTGTGAAAAGTGAAAACTCGCTAGTATTTCTTGACTTGTTTGGTGCAATACATAGTAATACTTGTGAAATCCTTTGTATGCTTAGAAATTTATCAATAAGGAGCCATTGCTGGGGCAACCATGAAATTTCCAGGCTTGAATCCTGATTCAGGGCCAGGTGCTACGTATCCAGAGCTCTTGATTTCACTCATTTCTCGACGTGAATTTGCTCTTTTTGCATCGCATAATTTGGGAAGGTATACACCTATCAAATAATTCATAATGCTTAAGAATGTCAGGGACAATAATTATTTTCACAAAACAAAATTTTTGAAAAGATGCTTTAATTGTATAAATTTATTTATCAAAAAGACTTCGTTCTATAGCAGAGAACTAATTTTTCTCTTTTCGCCCAAGTGTGGTCACACAAGGGACATAGGGACGTAAAAAGGGGATCCCATAAACTTGTTCTGCATTTCAATCTATGATAATTGACAGCAAGTTCGTATTCTTGGTCTTGCTTATCCGTGTGTGTGTGTGTGTGAATATATGTATTACCTTCCCCAGCAGCAAGATTGAAGTAGAGATCAACAATGTTGGGGCAGCCACCGTAGCATCGTGTTGAGCATAGTTTTTGGGTAAAATGAGAGTCCAAAAGAGAGTCTGACGAAATTCCCAGCACATTTCTATCCAAGCCGCAGGCCTTAATACACTTGTCAGTTTCAATCCAGTCCTTGAGGTTTTCGGCCTCAATTTCTGACATTCGGCACGAATATTTTTCATAACCGGTTCTGCATACGTGCTTCTCCAGCACGCAGCGCTTGCCGGAAGATGATATTGCGAAGGCACACGAATCTTTGTTCAAATTCTCGCAAGATATTTTTCCTGTGATATCATTTAAAAATATAGAAAAGAACAAATCCATTGCAATTAGGAATCAATATAGAATAATACACTATGCAAAGATCTTGAAGATGTACGATGAAAAGAATCAAAAGAGATTTGAACTGTTTTGCCCTTGGATCCATAGGGCAACTATAATAAAAGGTCGAGTAACAACTTGCTTTTGTTTAAAGATCAGAGATCAATTATTTCATACTATATATTTTTTTATAAAAAAATAGTTATTGTGTTATATGTTACACCAAAAAAATGTTTGGCACCATCAAAGTGACGTCGTGTTCAGCACAACTGAAATTGATGATTTGACCATGTCATGGCAAATCTTCGAGCACATGAGTCAAGGGTTGACTAGAATCAGGTAACCAAGGTCAATACGACTAGCTACAAAGAGGTTGAGGACAGTTGGCTTCAAATGTCAAGCTCCACAACGTACAACTCACATTAAGCTCATGGATACAAGGCATAAATCGTTAAGAAAAGCTATTTACAAGATTTTTGTATTTTCAATACACAACTGGGACATGGAGTTCTCAACTTACTATTTTATAATCGTTAAAAAAAAAAAGATTCGTTAAAGTGTAAGAACAAAACTGCAATAGGTGTTGTAATTCTTGAAACAAGAAATTCACTAACCTTGTGCGGCTTGAATGCCGAAGGCTAGAGCAAGAACAAAAATCCCCAAACTCTTTAAACCAAGATATGAAGCCATGGTGATGATAATGGGAGCCTAAGTTTCTTGCACAAAAAGCTTTATTTTCTTGGATTCAAGTGGTTAGATCTATTGCAATAGCAAATGCTATTTATAGACTAACATGAACAGAAATAAACAAGAAATTGGGCTGTGTGAAAACTCCACTTCCCATTTTCTTGCAGTTAGGCCAAGCCATGATGGGATTGGGACCCCATTTTGACCAGTATTTACGCGTTTATTTGCTTGACTGACGGTGGAGATTTGAGAAGAAAACTCAGATCACCGGTCAAAATCAGCTCCGCTAGTCACGGCGGGGCTGTGGAAATGATGGTGGGTGTTTTGTTTGTCTCCCTACTTGACTAAATACTACTGTTTGAGTTGCTGGAGAATGGACTTGGGCTTGTTCACTTGTAGAGAAGTCCTCCATGAAGTTTGGCATACTTGACTTTGAAGATTCAAGTAGCGTGTTTAGAGCTGTAAGTTTTGTCGACTTAGGTTGCTGAGTCGAATAATTTCTTTTATTCTTTAAGTTAATTTTTCAAATAAAAACCCCTAAGATGACTGTGTGAGATTATATGAAGAACAATGCTCGAAGATGTCAATTTTTCAGATGAGACATGTTGAGTATGAGGCTATGGAGTCTGGACATCTCGATCCTTTTTACATCTATAGTTATGAGTTACCTATCAATCATAATACGTGAAGTAAAGATATTTCAGTCACTTCATAATCACTAATTAAGTGATTGAATAGGGTGTGTTAACTTTGTTAGATTTTAGATTATTTATAATTGGTGATTCTGTGAATAAAAGGATTGAAATTGACATATTGTAAAAGTTCAAGGAATAATGTGCAAATACGTTGAAAATATATTTATTAGGTCCAGGGTTCGAGAATGGCAAAAAGTGGAAAAAGACGCAAATTTCAGTTTGTCGCTCGATTGTCGTTGAGCCTTCGCTCGAGCGATAGTTTTATTCGGGGAAATTTTGTTTCGCGTTTTAAAACCTACATATAAATACCAAAACATTTATGCACTAAAATTCGAAGGTTGAACATTGAGAGAGCTACATCTGTGAGAGATTGATTCGATTCCTTCTTTCAACTTTCATCTTGTGAGTTTGTTTTGGAGAGAAAAAAGCAGTTCAATAATCCAAATATCAAACTGACGTTCCTCTACATCTGATCAGAGTTCTGAAGATCGATGAAGTTTGATTGGAGTTCCAGTCTTTGAAGAACGTGGTGTTTTTCGTGGTTCCACAAGAGATAAACGATTTCACAAAATTAGGAGTTACTGTAGAAGAGCAAATTCAGGAGAGTTTTGAAAACTGTCGATTTCACAAAGCTGAGACTTGCTGCAGGAGAGCAGAATCCAAGAAAGCTTTAGAAACTGCAGTTGGGAGTGGTGCAGGAGCATAGAATCTACGAAAGTTGTTGGAATTGCAGTTAGGAGATCAGATAGTACGTATCGTCGTCTAAACCGGTAGACTGTAAGTTACATATTGTTTATAGTGGATTGTTGACTGGTAAAGTGTCCAGAGTTTTTCCCAGTTGGATTTCTCCGGGATCATTTTGATGTTGATTTACTGCATTCGTTATTTGATTAATCACATACTACGGTATTCAAACTTAGGGCTAAAATGACTTGCTTGTTTAATCATATAGATCAGAATTAAAAAGTGACTTATTACTGTTTAATTCGTAAAATATTTTCAATTCTGCATATAATACATATTCACCTTATTAGGCTCGAACTACATAACTTTCAATTGGTATCAGAGTCTTAATTCGATTCCTGACCCTTTATTACTTCTAGATGAGTCAGTCATTGTATGTGTCTCCATTCTTCGACTGAAGCAATTATACTTATTAGAAAGTTCGTATGAGAGTCTTCCTTAAATCTTTGGATGAACATATTTGAATTAGCGTTCAAAATAGGTAGCTTTTTCTGGGTTCAACCCATTCATGATTTGGGCTAAAATCTGACTCTTAGCCAAATGGGCTTGGATATAGCTACAAATATGGCATGCCAATAACTGCTGGTCCACTATACAAGTTTGACTTGGAGGGTAGAAAAGGCAAGCTTATAAAAGACAAAAAGAGTATCTTTTAACACTCGAATAAATTTTCATTTTATTCTTAAGAATAATACTAATTTAATCCAATATCGTCATCAACCATCACACATATACTTCCATCTCGATTGTTACCACGTTGATCACCACCTACCACCCCGTCTCTCACTATTTGCCATCATGAAGCCTCTAGTTGGTCGAAGTGGTGGGTTGAGAGGCAAAGGTGGGGATGAGGGTGGTGATACAAGGTGGTTGTAGGATTTTATACGTTCATGAAGAAAACTTAAAGATATTTTTTAATATTTTATATAAATTTGGAATTAGTTAGTAAGAACGAAAAGAAAGTGTTGGGAATACCGAATTTCAGTATCTCACAACTAGCATATATTAACAGAGTTCAACAACTCAAGAATCCAACATATATTAACAATCAACAGAATATATCAGAAACATAGGAACTGAAAATCGAAAATAAAAAAGGGGGCAGAATGCTACTTCCCTATTTTGGTTCTTCTTCCTCTTGCACTGGTCGCAATATTAGGCTCAGGAACAATCTTCCAAACGTTGCAAATCACTGTCCAGAGAGAGCACAAGAACCGGCCCAAATGCTTCTTCACTTGGTTTGGATCATCGACCGAAAGGTCTACCATAACAGCCAGAATAAGCCCTAAAACGACCTAAAGCCCCAGAGAAACACAGCCCCCTTAACCACTATTTCAGACCTAAGAATACAAATGAGTTTCTTCAATCAATAGACTACTAGGTCGACTTCAAGGTACAAGGAAGAAGAAGAGCAGCCTCAAAGAGACAGTGAAAAATGGACAGAGAGTCGAGAGAGAGGAAGCGTCTCATAGAAGAAAACCCACGTGAACATAAGGGCAAAAGTCAAGCCTAAAAAATATCTCAACCAAGATTCCATCCCAACCGTCCAAATGATCCAAGGGTTATAATAAAATCAAACTAACACAATTCGGGACATAACCAAAGCCACCAATAAGTGAGTGACGCCTACACAACTAAAGCCCAAATAATAAGTCACAGGCTAAAATCAACAAATAGCACCAGTCCACAAGTGTTAGGAGGACCACAATACTCACAGAAAGTAATTGTAAAAAGAGTGATAATACTATGTCAACTTCGTGCAGATAAATACTCACGCGTACTAAAAAGAAAATTTTAGATGGTAAGTCCCAAAATTTAGGTATTATTATAGAATGAGAATGAAAAATATAGCCGTTATTAGGGTCCACACGAGAGATATAAAATTTGAATTTAAATGTTGAAATGATGGATAACGGTAATATTTTTCATTTTAATGAGATAATAATGTAGATCAAATAGGGGTTAATGTGTCTTGCCTACTTGGGCTGGGTCCCAAACTTATATTTATTTAAAGTTAACCAAATTTCAAACTTGTGGCACTTGAATATAGTAAACGCAATAATGAAAAGAAAAAGGAAGATTTCCTCCAGCAAAAAAGTAATGAAGTTCAAAATATCCTAGAAAGCCAATATCTGCATCACTTGATCAATAAAATTACATATATGAGCAAATAAGAAACAATTATATTATTACAACAGTCACATGAGCACAATACAAAAACAGATTTCATGAAACTCAAAAAAGAATATTATTTAAACTAGCTATGATGTCAAAAAACGAATTTATTCGAATATGGATCAGATTTTTTTATTTTTTTTTCCATCAACATTTAACACACTAATACATGAAAATCTTGCAAACAAATTGAGTTTTGAATTTAGAATATTTGACAAAAGTGATTGCTAATTACTTATGAAATAATAACTTATTGAGATGAGAAAATTAATTAATTTATATTTATATCTTTAACACACTAATATCAATAATTTCTCAGCCCTAAGAAACAAATATTCTAGTGAAGATTACACTCTCTTCCTTAAAATCTTTTACATACATTTTTTTTCATGTTCTATGTCCTGTGAGTCAAGAATTGAAACTTCATAATCACTAGTTAGCCCCTGTTTGATTTAGCTAAAAAGTTGATTGAAATTTAATTCAAAATTAACAATAAAATTAAATCGTGCATTTCATGGAACTCACAATTTTTCAGTCATACATTTCAACAATTTTTCTCCAAATTAACTAAAAATTTGATTTTTATCTAATCCAAGTGGGGGGCTTAATATGCTTCTCTAATGCTTTTTGTTTGTTATCTTTCGATATTTGATGTCTAAGGGCAGAGGAAGCACACCAATCCATCTTGAAGTTGGTTGTGTGAAAACATAGCTCAATGCCAGAATGTCAATGTTTGGTAATTTTAAAAGTACATAGTTTAATATATATTTGTTGAGAAATGCTATTCATTCCCACTGGGGATGCATCCTCAGTTTATGTGGCATTAAATGATAGGTGAAATTAAATAAGTCATTTAATTTTCACCTATCATTTAACCAATCATTTATATCCACATAAATTGGGGATGAATAGTATTTTTCATATTTGTTTTCTTGAAAGCATGTACTGTTTGAAAGTAACTTTTGAAATATTTTAAGTACAGTCAAACAAGCTTAGGCCCACGTTATGTCTTGTGTCAATACACTATTAAATATAGCTTGTCTATTGAAAAATTTATTTTTTTGATAAAAATCTTCATAAGTTACCCCTATTTAATTTTCAATAATTAGTAGTAAATTATTGTTGAAATTAGTAAAGAATAATTATCATTTGTCAAATTCATAAATCATTTTGATGAGATTCAATGGGATGAACTTTTGAAACAAACAAATTAAACTAAAATTAGAATTTAAATACCGGTTATTCTGATACTTTTAATACTTACCGCCACCCACAACCAGAACTTTAATACTTACCGCCACATAAACCACAATTTAGATATTCACTAGTTACCAAAACTAGAATTTAAGATTTTGATCAAAATAATTTTCCATTTTGCAAATCCGCCAA